CTCTGACTCACTCCTTGGCACATGGCTGGCATTGTAATGCTGAAACTATGACAACAATACACTATTCCCAGGATCCTTTATTTAATGACAAGCAGCCCAGCTCATGGGGCAATTGATAGCTCTGGAAATGCCCTATACGTTAAGAGGATTAGTATGTGCCGCAACATCCACTATCTGGAAATGCAGCTACTTCTAAAAGATACTTAGGTCACAAATTCGGGTGGAAACAGAGATAGTAAGCCTTTTCGAATTCCTGGCTTCTAATGCAGGAGCCGGCTTAGCCCACTAAGCAAAAATACATTTCTAAAGACCTTTCAATCTCTCAGAAGAAGCATTAAAGTGTCAAAGCTGTCAATTTTATGGAAATGACAATGGCAAAGCACCACAAAAAGCTGCAGTACACAGGACATTGTCACTGACAGAAAATCAAGTGTTTGCTGATGCTGAGAGAATAGCTAAAAGCCGAGCACAGGGGAAGGCTTGTTTAGGCCCTGAATTGGGATTCAGGGGAAGAGAGTTGTTTCTCCAGCTCTGCCACAGGCCTCCTGGCAGCTCTGAAACAAGCCATGTAAGCACAGTTGCATGTCTGCCTGTATAACATGGACTCCCTAAGTCCATTTATTTATTAGAAGAATGTTCTTAGGAAGCCTTCATAAATGCTTCTAAAACAATTCAAGACTCAAGTCCATGACATCGAGTCTTAATACATACTTAAAGCACAACAGATGTTAAAGACTATATACATATATTCAAGAAAAGTCTAATTCCTTCCTTGCATGGCAAAAAAAAAAAAAAAAAAAAAAGGATTAACTACACACTAAGCCACCATGTATTTATCAAACTGACTTCCAAATAATTTAAGAAGTTGCTTTATACCTTTATGGGCAACATCATCTAAAACTGCACGAATAAGAATGGTCTAAATTGTAATCAAATCCCCTCTCCCAGATTTTATCCACTGCAACATTCTGGAAAGTTACTGTGATTGGTGCAGCTTGCCCTGATGGAGCAGTAAGTGAAATCTGTCCCACCAAAAGGCAATGTTACCCCTGCTGAGTACTTTTATAAAAACAAGAAATTTGAGCATGACAAAGTTAGAGAAGTAGAAGCTGCAGAAAAATGAAGTTGGAATTGCATGAAAAAAAAGACGTGAACATAAGAGACTGCAGAGAGTAGGAAAGGTTCAACTCCATCCAATACTGGCAGCAGTGGCATAAAAGAGGAAGATGAAAAAATATGGAGGTTATCCATAGGAAAGAAAATAACGAAACAATTAGGAGACTGGGAAAGTGAAAACAGATCTTGAATATTCTGTACAATCCAGAAATAACACTTTAAGAAGTAGACTTCTAGAAGAAAAGGAAAAAAAAAAAAGAAAGAAGAAATGAGAAACCAAAATTCAGAAAGAACAGCTGTTGGGATTGAACTGCACTGCTTTATCTCACCCTTTTGTATATTCTTGTGAACTAATTCTAATGATTAGTTCACTTATCTTCAGCAATCCTGAGATATTAGTCATGACTGAAAATACCTATGTTTTGCAGGTCAACAGTCATGTTCATATAGAGGTGCAAAATACATATAACCCGCCCTATTTCAGTTTACATAATGCAAGCTCAATTCTTCTGCTACTCTTACACTTTTTTTTTTTTTTTTAAATGTGATCTATTTCCATAGACACAAGAAGTAATTTGAGTTCCAATTACTTGCGAGAGGATAACAGAGCTAATGCTGGTGGTGGTACCAACAATGTGCGTAATGATAGGAACGCCATCTGAATCCTGCAAGAAAGGTGTACAGACAAACTGGAACACAAGATGAAGGATAACACCAAATAAGTGGCAGCCTTCCAGCTGGCCAGCAAAGGAACTACCAACGTAAGAACCCTACTTTTCTACCACGCTACCTACAATGACATGCAGTCATGGTCCTTTGCCATCCAGCACTCTGCACATTATGTGAACGTCTCTCATAATACAAAGTAGGTGAAAAATTAAGTTGAAAAATGGGAAATTTTCAAGGTTAATTACATGGTTGTTTCCATATACCTTAAATATTGTAACATCTGAATGTGAGAAATGGCACAGCATACGTTATTTTATGCTGACATTTACACATACGCTATAAGGACAGTAGTCCTCTCCAGGCTTTTCCATACAGTGATTGCAAGTAATATGCTAAACATTGATTTTCAATTTTTATTTTTTAAAAGGCAGATGTATGATTTCACAATGCAACTTGCTTAAGGAATACCATAAAAGGAGAGGGCTTCAGCACGTTCAGATGTGACTTACACTTTACCCAGGGGTTTGCTTTTCCAAGTTCAGCATGTAACGTCACTGTTTTGCAGCCTTTATCTCACTTACATGGTCACATCAGTCCAGTAGATAAATCACTCCAAAGCAGGTGTGTTTGCATGTGCCTCCATTTGTGATAAGATCCTGTGAGACAGGGAAGGAGTCTGCAGCACAAAAAATAAAGGTCCTACTCTGAACAAGTTGTACGGTGCCTTCTTAATGTAGGCACTTCTCCCACCTATGCTGCAGGTTGCAGAGACGCACCCATACACCATGAACTCCAGAGGGATGACGATGCTTGCGTTCACAGAGCATAAAGCCCTGCCCTTTGCAAGAGCTGATCCTGCAAGTCCCCATTTTAGGCTTGAGTTCTCTATGTCACTTATGATCAACATATGCCAATTTTTCAATGTTACAGTCAATAAAGTTCAGGAGATTCAGAGTCCTCTCTACTCTCCCTACGAGAATAAATCCAGCTGCATTCACCGACGCTGTAGGTTTTCAACAAGTGTTTTTCCCTCTTCCAGACATGCTCCCAATGCACAACTACAGAGCAAATCCCATGTTCTGCTACGAGTATTCATAGAATCATAGAATCGTAGAATGTCCAGGGTTGAAAAAGACCACAGTGTTTACCTAGTTTCAACCCCCCTGCTATGTGCAGGGTCGCCAACCACCAGACCAGGCTGCCCAGGGCCACATCCAGCCTGACCTTGAATGCCTCCAGGGATGGGGCATCCACAACCTCCTTGGGCAACCTGTTCCAGTGTGTCACCACCCTCTGTGTGAAAAATTTCCTCCTAATATCTAACCTAAACATATTCAATGTCTTAAATTCTTAAACTAAAACAAATGTTAACTAAGTAAAGCACTATGAACTTGATAAAGCTTCACAAAACTCATGTCTAGTCATTAGCATTAATAAGATTCTTTGGACTGATGTCCACAATTATTCTTGAAACAGCAACAGGAAAAACCCTGCAGCAACAACACAAACAGCATCTTTTCCTTCGCCATTTAAGACAAAAGCAAACAAACAAAACCCATCAGCATCCTACTTTAAAATGTGCAATTCCCAGCAGCTGAGCCACAAACACATGCAGCCAGTTTATCTGCACAGAGCACACAGCAGAGCTGCTGGACTATGCTGAATGATACATTAAATCAGCTCACTGTTTAACAAGGGAAATTCTTAACATTACTGTTAATGATTTACACAGAGACAAAACAGCTCTGCCTAAATTTTGTTAAAAATTATAAAGCTGGGATCATTTTAACTCCTTGCTTTCAAAACTGCCTGCTAACTCAATCAACAAGCTGGAAATGTGCAGCGCAGTTCTTCTGCTGCAAAACGAAGACATTTCTGCCACAGTCATCTAAAAATCCGTGCTCCCAGACAAGTTTTACAGATGCCGTTGACATCTGGATCCCTACAGGAAGTGACAAGGACAGAAGAAGCTATCCTCTTGCTATGCTTTCCTGGTCAATTTCCTCATGGAACAAATAAAACCTAATTAGGGAGCAAACATCCATTGATTTCCAGTATTGATGCTAGAAATTCAGAGAATTACGTGCTGCTCAGTGAAATCCACAGCTGACAGCACATCCAGGCTGAGATTCTACAGCTTCCAAGGAAAAGCAAGAATACTTCAGCACTTAAATGAATTCAGGGCAGACAGTACTGAGTACACAGCAGATTTGCCACCAGCATATTGTTGTACAATATCCCAAGTGCAGTATAACTTTAGGACAGATTCTGCTCCTTGAACTATACTGGGAGTTCTGTAACTGAAGTTAATGCACCTACAGGAACTTCTAGCCATCCATGCGGTATCCATCTGCTCGTGGAACAATCTCCACACTCACAGAGATGAAACTAGCTGTTTGTGAGTTCTATTCAATATATTGCTGAGCTCCGAGATGCACAAACAAGCAGCTTTCTCGTGCCAAACTATAATGAAACTCTGGATACCCAGCAAACAGGACAAGATTTTAATCAGCATTACAGAGCAGTGCTTCTTACTCTTCAAAGCACTCACAGAGAAAGCCAGCAGCCTTGCCTCCCAAGTCCAAGAAACATTACACACAGTTCTATTACTGCAGCATCTTGGCATCTTTCTTCACCCACTGCCCCCTGTTCTAATTTTGAGTCACTCACTATAAGGCTTCTCATCAAATAAAGAAACGATGGAAATTAAAGATTAAAAGTCAAAAAGCTACGCTACCCCTCCAGCACGCACTTGAATGCTGCTTTTTATTTAAGTGAATTTATGACATAAATACTGGGACTTCAAACGAAAATTAAAAACAAAAACAAAGAAAAAAAAAAAACAACTTCAGAACCAACCGCAGTCCTCAGTGCGAGCGGGCAGCGCGAAGCAGAGCAGTAAACTGCACCGAGCGTCCAGCACAGCCCTAAACTCGCCTTACTCCCGGCTCCGACCAAAGCGATCTCACCTCGCTGCCGCTTCCCTACCGGTCGAACCCCCCGACTCGCCCCTCCGCAACTCCTCTCCCACTCGCTCCTGCCACTCGGGCCGCCCGCTCGGCCCAGCGGCCCCAGCCCGCACCCCGGCACCAGAGCCGCCCCACTCCACCGCCCCGTGCCCGGGCCGGGCGGCACGGCGGGGCCCCGGCACCTGCCGGCAACGAGGGCGGCCGCTCGGAGCCCGAAGCCGGGGCGGCGCTTTGGGGCTGACTTACCCGCTGGGCGGCTTGCCGGCCGTGGGGCGGACGAGGGTCTCCATGGGCGTTTTGAAGGGTCCCGGCGCGAGGAGAAGCGAAGGTCGAAGAGGAAAACGGAGGGCACCGAGCGAGCAGCGTCTCCCCGCACCCGCACGCTTTCCCCCCGGCCCGGCCGCGCTCCCGCAGCCGCTGGCGGGGCGGGGAAAGGGCAAAGTTACCGCTCCCCGTTCTGCGGCAGGCGGCACTCCCGGCCGGGGGCGGGAGCCCGGCGGGAAGGAGGGAGGGAGGGAGCGCGACGGCCGCCCCCAGGGCCGGCACGGACGCGCCGCCCGAACTGTGACTGCTCGGCCGGGCCCTCCTACCTGCGGGCGCTCGAGCGGGGAGCGGCGGGTTGCACCGCAGCTGTCCGCTCCCTTCTCACCGGCCCGTGCGGGGGCGAAGGCGCACGCGGAGCCGTTTCCATGTGAGCGCCCGGGACAAACACAAACACGGCCGCCCCCGCCGCCCACGCACCGGGCGGGGGAACGGAGGCTTCTGCGGGGCGTCCCGGCAGACGCGCACCGTCCCCTCAGCCCACGGCGCCGGGCGAAGCTGTCACTCCGCTGCCTGCGGGGCCGACGGCACCTTAATGCCTCAGCCGTGTCAGAAGCACCGCACGCCCCCCAGCAGAGCAACTGTTATCCTTGTGCGCGAAAGGAAAGCTAGCTGGGGGCTTATGTTACCGGGGGATGTGCTCACTCTCCGATGTGCCTCATTTTGGGCACCGTGGCCCCTCGCAGGCATTTCAGGAGGTTCTTTGCTCCTCTTCAAGCCTCTCAGTATGCTTCACCTTGTGTTTCGGGTCGTGGTGGCAGATGGGCCAGGCCACTGCCAAAACAGGGAGTGGAAAGGCTGAGCGGGGTGAAACCTCATCACAGAGCTAAGGGTAGGGGAGCTGCTGTGGCCATCTCCCTTTCACAGCATGAGGACTCTCCTCAGCTCCTGTGAGATCAGCAGAAGTTGAGAGCACAGCTTTCTGTTTCCTCCTCCCCATCCCTGTCATACAGAGAGGGCTTGGTGATGAGGGAGGCAGCTGGCCATCCTGCCGTAGGGAATGAAAACAATACAGAAGCAAAGCATTACAGATCTCTGATTTCCCTGTTACCATGGGTAAAAGTTAATTGAGTCACCACAACTCAGTAATTGTTTCTGGTCATCCAAGGCACATGTCATGGTAATGAGCCATACATCTGTAACTTGTGCCCCTACGAAAATAGTCTGGCTTGCATAAGTTATTTTGCAAGGGAATTGGTCTCTCAGATGCAGTCTCCCTGCTATCACTTACCAGAGCTCCAGAACTGAATGGCGATCCCAGAGAAGCTGTGGGTGTCCCATTCCTGGGTGGATGGAGCCCTGAGCAGCCTGATGTAGTAGGTGGCATCCCTGCCTATGGGACTCTAGATCCCTTCCAACTCAAACCATTCTGTGATTCTATGATTCTATTAAACCGCAGGATCTCAATTTCATAGCACTATATATCATGCATTTAGTACATTTTTAACCTCCCCTTTTCACTCCTAAATCTAAATGATCACTTTCTTACTCTAGAACACATGCTAAAGCTGCAGAAACACAAAACCTCTACCAAACCCCAAAGATCTTCCCACCTCAAGAGCAAACTGTACTGTTCTGCTCCGGGAACCTGCAAGAACTTTGCACATCCCACTGTGCTACACCTGAAGGAAGCTGTGCTCACCGTGCATCCACCTGCTCTTCCCTCCTCCACTCACACCCACCCATGTGTCCAGTGATGTCCTTGTGGCTGTCCTGCAGAGCAGCACTCTTACTGTCTTCCCCACTGCCCAAGTCCTGTTTCGGTTTCTTTCACCCTTTCCCATTGGCTTCACTGTTTCACATTAGTTTATTCTTTAGCAGCATTGCCTAAATGTTTTCTGTTTGATAGCATTTTCTCTTCAATTCCTATAAAACAACATTCTCAGAGTGTATCAAGGCTGTCACAACCCAGCAATGAACAGCAAAATAGTATTTGCTTATTACGTTTGCTTCATTTTATACAGCAGAGTGAAAGACTGTCATCAATCCCTGAAATCACCATTTCAACACTGCTCCAGAGTGTCAGGAGCAGTAACACAGATTGCCTGCATCCAAAACCTTTCAGTCCCATTTTGCTGATGGAAGAGCCAAGGGGGATTTGTGGAGCACTCACTGCAATGCAATGTAAGAACACGCCTTTGGTGTACAGGCTCCTTGGCACCCAGCCCAGCCCTCAGAAAAAGGCAAAGGCTGTGCTGCTGGTATGCATTGTCACCCAACCATCAGGGTGCTCTGCTCAGATTTTAGGCAAGTGGCTTTGGTGCTGAGAGGGGCTATAGGAGAGCTTGCAAATCTCATTAAACATCAGTTAGATTGAACATATTTACATTTTCCCACCCTCCAAAAAAAAAAAGGAGGGGGGGATTTTAACTCTTTCTAGTCTTTATGAGAGATCTGTCGTTATGAATAGGATATTGTGCTAGGCTCTGTCTATAACGACATAACAAATCCCAGAAAAGTTAAGGAACTTAGGAACAGTGATATTATTTTCTTTTGTGGTTTTAGAGACATAGTGTAAAAAGTCTGTGATGTCATTTGAGAACCCCAAATAAGACATAAGAAATAATCCAAAAAAGGTACTAATCATGTGAAAATATGACAAAGAAGCCATCTAAAAGAACACATGGATGATGGATAGCTATGTTATATTAACATAGCTACAGCTGCTGGAGCTACAGCTGAGATAATTTGTATTTCTAGTGAGTTATCAGGTAATTACCTCAAAAAGATTGAGCACCATCACATGCTGTGGAAGTATTATGGAAAGAGGGTGTCCTTTTGCTTGAGAGAGTATTTCAGAGCATGCATACAGAGCGTGGGATGTGATACACACTGGAGGAGAAAACAGTTTAAAACTGTGATGTTAATAGAGCAGAAGGAGTTTCTGTGAACTCAGCCATCAGGAAATTAAAAGCGGGTTATATTAAATGTGGCTAAAAGTGGACGTGGCAGACACTGGCATAACTCAGACTGAGCCTGGTATGTCTCTACAGTGTGCTGACACAATCTTGAATCTATGAGTGGTTCACTCCAGGGATTTTATTTTAAAGGTTGGATATTGATTACATGCTTATTCATCCAATGTTCTTTTCTTTTCCCCAATAATTTTATGGTTTGTTGCTTTTCCCCAACATTTCATTCTGTATATTTTGTATATATTCTGTATATTTTGGACAAGTAATCTTCTGTATCCTCTATTTTCTACCATTCCTGTTAGGGGAACTTTTTTAGGATTTGAAACCCCAGCTCTTGTCTGCAGGTAAACAAGCCTTAATGAAAGAATGTCTACAAGCACAGAATATTGGCCTCAGCGAGTGACTTAGATCTCATGTTCTTGGGCTCAGCTTGGTCAGAGTCTTCTTAGGAAAGATGCTAACGTAAGATGCTTCCTAAAGTCAAGGAGTTACATCACTCATACTCATCTGAGAACTGTGTAGGGGAAGACAATGCAATTATACAGGGAAAATATTAAATTATTCTTTAAGAGCATATCATATAACATGATTAAAAAAAACATTTGGGCCATCTTAGCAGCTTGTGAACTAAACTGCTTTAGCTACTTGATGTAAATGTATCTTCCTTGTACAGAGGTGGGTAATCCTGCTTAACATGCTGGTCAACGTGACCCAGCTACAGCCATCACTTGCTGTATGGATTTTGTTCTTTGTTTACTGAGCCAAGGAGCATCTGAAATTGTCAGAGCAGCATTTTAGAAAAGACTCACAGCCTCCGAAGTACCAGTGCCACTGACATTCCCTCCAACATTACTACTTTCTGTAAAGAAAAGATGTTGTGCTATGCTAAGAAACATCTGTTCTATTTTCTTGGAAGAGAAGTAGAGCTTTTGGACTGCTCTGCCCAGCAGGACTAGCAGAAGGGGAAATTCAGTTAGCCTTATGTGTGAAGAGCCTTCCATGGATCTGAAAACAGGTTGTTGAGAAGCAAAATCATAGCATGGCACTTTACTTTGGCATGATACTTTTCCAGTCATTGTAGTATAGACAGGCCACGCTTTAGTCCAGCAGGGTAGGACTGACAAGAAGATGGCAGAAAGGACATTCCATGTATTGTCCCATGCAATAACAAAGAATAGAGAGAGCTCTCGCTGCATAAATTATTGACATGGCATGTTCCCTATTTCCTTTATGCAGCACAGTGCACATACAGCAACACATGGCTCCACCATTTAAACCTTCCTGAGCCACTCCCAGGCCTAGCTTCCTCTGAGCAACAACTGCTTGCACTGTAAATAGAGGCAGTGAGACTTGTGCTTCTAAATGTGAAATAAATTAGTCCCTGCAGTGACCAAATGTCTTTATAAAACAGTTCTCAAGTGCCTTATGTCTGCACCGAATATTCAATACCAGAGTTTCTATTTCAAGAAGGCTATTTCTGTTTTCATATATAAAATGTAACTGAGCTATAATCAGAAGAATTATATCCACTCACAGTCCTCTCTATAAAATATTAAACACTGAATGAGAATACTCTTTATCAACAATATTTACAACTATATTTTACCTTACAGACTGAATTAAAATTTCTAACAATTTTACATAGATGTTTCACTACAGTCTTTCACTGAAATTTAGAAAGTTTTAATCTGTAGTAAGTAGTGGTTTCTCAAGGTTTAACTCTAAAACTTCAGGATGGATAAAAAAACAACCGGAATCTTGTAGAATTTCAAGATTACCATGTAATTCTCATTTTATACTTGCATCACGTGGTGCACGTTTCATTTAAGATATTTAATCCAGATTGAAAGCAGCATAAAATGAAAACAGGATTTGGTTCTGTATTTAAATAAAAGCTCTATGCCAAAGATAGAGACATACATGTATGAACTTATGCAAAAATTGAAAAGTAGCAGGCTTTGTCTGCTGGTATATTTATTTTTATTAATTTGTGTTTGCCTTAGGTGACCAACACCTTAAAGCACACAAAGATTTAGACACATGAAAGTTCACCAGTATTATGTTGAACTTATATTTGATTCTTCAGAAAAAGTAGGACCTTTTGACATATTATCTCTAGAATTCTCCACAGACTGAACGTATACTTAGTAGATGCATGCTGTTAAACGTGGCGATACAATAATCAGATCCTAAAGGATAGACTTTCAAAGGACAGTGTTGTCAGGAAAGAGCCAGGCAGGTGTATTCTGAAGACTGACATACATAAGACTGTACATGTATTTCATACCGAAGTTACAAATGTGAGGAAGTAAACAACAAAAAGCTTACCTTGAGGAATTCTCACTGGGTATACTTGGATTGTTATCATGTACAATACATTATTTAGCCACTACCAAGTCATGACACGTTTTCTGGTGCAGAGGCTAGTTTCCCACCACCCTTCTTTCTGAGGCCAGCAAAGCTTTAACTCTCTTTAATACATTTCAGAGACTCATTTCATTTCATTTCATCTCATCACTTTTTTTCTTTCTTTCTTTTTTTTTTGTTTTAATAACATACCTTGAGACCAATCCTGCCGCTTATCTTTGTATGGAGTATGGAGAAGAACAGAGGTCTTCCAAAGATATCCAGTTGTACAGATCCAGAAGAAGTTGGGCTGAGGTGATGTACACAGTTGCTTCACCACAGTGTCTGGACAGCTGCAAACACAAGAAAAGGTAATGCTTTACTCTTTAGCAAGGGTTGCGTCACCTTCCTCACCCTGCTCCTAAAAGCAACATATGATTAGAAACAAGAAAAAGTCTTTGAATAAACAAGGAAGAGATTGGATAAACCAGTTAGCAAAGAAGAATTGATGAAATATGAACTATCAGGTGAACATCACTGGCCTGATCCATATCCTCGTGATTCTAGCAAAGTTTTCTACAGGCTCTGTTTTTCCCAAATTTTTCACCTCACTTGTAAACATGGGCAGTAATGACTGTGAATTTTACTCAGCCTTTATTCTCGTTTTCTCCTCTCTTCCTCTTGAATGTGAAGTTAATCAAATCTCAATCATACCTCTAGTCACTTGTATTAGTACACCCAGGAACAGTCTATAACTACATCAACTTGAACAGAAACCTATCTTCCACTTGCCCATGAAGACCAACATCAAGGGAAGTCTTCAGCGTGCCTTGAATAACCTGCACCTTGTATTAAGTGATTGATTAACCTTTGGTGACTTTTTGTTTCTCTGTCCTCTCCTGGTTTGTCAGCTGTCCTCACCCGGCAACCTCAGTGTAGGGGAGGAGTGTAAGTTATGACATAGTTAAACTGAAACAACACTCCCTTTCGTTAGGTGAGTCATCTGCAGTTATCCAGAAAATGTGCAGCATGAAAATTACCTCCGGTTTGGATGAATTAAGAATACAAAGTAATTACTTAGACTTACTTTGGAAAAATAAATATGGAAAACTTCTAATTCATAAATAAATAAAACTAATTGCCTACCATTCATGGTAACGGGAACACAGATTAAAGAGCCTCTTGTGCATTTGCAACCAGACACATGAGTGGGGCATTGCACTGCTGCATTCGTTGCAGGACAATGCAGAAAGCAAATGATGATGCAAGGAGCTACACATGGTTTCTCGTCTGCCTTGTGGCGAGAGCACTGCCTGCAGTAGTCTGGCACTGCACCCAGTGTCCAGCCTACTGGCACAGCTCTGTATTCTAGAAGAACAGGCAGCAAGCCAAACCCCTCCTGTTCTCCACCTTCTCCCTCCACACAGAGAGGGACAACAAGAGTGGAAAACAAAAGTCTTGCACACAGTGCAAGAGCTTTCCACACAGTGTACATATGACAGAAGTAAACTCACTCTTTTTAGTAAATAGACATGTATCTGTAGAGACTTAAAGGAATATACTGGTTTAATTCTTATACTGATTCATAACCTGAACAATTATTAAAGAAACCCACTAATTTATATACAACTTTTTTCTTTTAGCAGAAGATGACAAACAAACTTATAAATCCTCTTAAAATGCATTAGATTAGTGCCTGTCACGATGATTGGGATGCTTTCACAGCACTGATTAGTGTTTAAAAATCTAGTTGTCACAAATTTGACTTCAGTAAGCACAAGAGAACTAAAATGGGCATGTAGCTCTTTGCAAATTTTTACTCAAACCATATTTTGAAAACAGCCCACAGCTTCCTTGCAACGTGATGAAAAACAAGAGCAACATTTTGACTGATCATATATGCTTTGCTTACAACACATGATACAGTCCCAGTATTTATGAAGTGAGGGCTGCTCGAGAAAGTCACCTTATATGTGCACAAGCAGTAAACCACTGTGAGCTCTGCAGCAACCTTTGTGGCCTGGGCCATGGCTTCTATAGAAGTCTCTATAGCAAGAGCAAAAATAGAGGTTATCCAAACTGAAGGTTTTCATGGACTGTCACGCAGCTGCTGCAGCTCAGTTGTTCTGAAACTGTTCTCTATCAGGTTGCCCAATCTCAGCTGATTGTTGCCAATTCCCAGGCTACGTAATGAAGCAACAGGTCAGCCTCCAGTGCCTGCACAGGTACAGCTTTCTCATACAGAGATGTTTGGGTGTCAGAGCATAGGGAAATAACAGAACAACTTGTGCAACTCAAGGTGTGTTGTTTTTAACCATTTGAAAAAGAAAGACATTTGCAAAGGTATCACTGCAAGTTAAATTTCAAGTTTCAAATTTAAATATTTTCTAGTTTTTTCAGTTTAGCAAGTTATACGTGGTGCATTTATACATGACAACTGCATTTCCAAACTGTTGTCTAATATAGATGTTATCTGTTACATATATTGTCTAATACGGTTGCTGTAAATTACATTTCTTACATTACTGCTTTAGAATACCTCATTCCTTATCAATGAATAAAAATGAATAATGGCTGTACATTTATAAATGAATGTAATACAGACTGTAAAGTACATATCTTTATGAATATACATATATATGATTTTCTGATTCCAGAATTTTATTTTTTCCTTTTACCACCCTCTGCCTTTTTTTTTTTTTCCTTCATACTGCCTCACTTGAAAATTCCAAATGCCTGTGGCTTCTTGAGTGCCTGAATGAGTACAAGAGCATATTTGGGTATGCATATTAGTGCACCCAAGCAAGATCATTGCATTTGTTGTTGGTAAACTGAGGATTCATAAGTGAACTCTGAGAACTCTTCCTAAACAAAATTTTTTCAAGAGAAAGAGAATAGGGTCCAACAGTTGAGCCAAGAAATTAGATAAGAACTTGCCCTTTGTTTGAATTGGAAGCACAAAATGCAATTGAGTTTTGCAGTGCTCTGGTAAGCAAGAGTACAAGGACATCATGAAAGCAAAGCAAGAACAATCCTCAATTTGATCCCTCTGAGGGACTGAATTTTGGACTTAGCCCAAAAATCAAATAATTCCCCTACCTACCTTGAACTCTGAGGGGAGGGAAGTCCCAGCAGAAAAGCGCTCTATTGCCATTCATACAGGCAAGGAGGAGTTGAACAGAGAGCAGCAATAGATGTGCCCTAAATGCTTTGTCGTTTTTTTTTTTTTAGTACATTATGTTACTGTGCTTGAGAGCCATTGCAGAGAAATGGAGTTACAAAGTTTAAAGCTATAATAATAGTATTTATAGTTTCATAACTTGTTCGTAGCTTTGTGAAATATATCTAGGGAAACTGGTGTCCTAGTCAAAGGCAATGACCAACCTCTGGCAGCGAGTGCAAGGTTAGCAGTGAGCAGGGAAGTCATGAGTTTTTGTGCTACAAACTACAAAAACTGAACAGTCTGTAGCACAATTTCTGTGCCTTCTTGAAGGTCTGTATCCATTCCCCACTCAATTCAGTTCAGTTAATGGCTGAGATCTGTACAAGTCATGGGCCATGGTTATTTATCCTGTAGGGGTCTATTTGCTATTGTCCATGGGATATGGAGAGCTGGAGGCATGGCTGGCAGGGAGGTGAGTAACTGGCAGAACATCACTTGAAATGGCTTTTTATCACCCAACAAAACTCAGCTTTCACTGATTACGGGAAAGCAACTGGAAATTTATTCCTTACAGCTGTTAGAGTTGAACTATGGCTATAACATAAGTTACTATTACTCTGTTTACTTGGTCACATTCTTCATTTTTTTGTTTGTTTGTTTTTTGTTGTGTTTTTTTTTTCTTCCTCATAGAAAACCAAAAAAAAAAACATCTCACCAAACAACAAAGAAAAAAATCTGTTAGGCATTTGATTTGTGTTTGCCAGTAGGAAAAATTACTTAATTCAGTGTAATTTTCCCAGTTACCCAGATGTAGCCTCAAGTCATAGAATTGTAGAATGGCCAGGGTTGAAAAGGACCACAATGATCATCTAGTTTCAACCCCTCTGCTATGTGCAGGATCGCCAACCACCAGACCAGGCTGCCCAGAGCCACATCCAGCCTGGCCTTGAATGCCTCCAGGGATGGGGCATCCACAACCTCCTTGGGCAACCTGTTCCAGTGCGTC